TTTGAGTAAAGAGACCAATGGTCTTTATGAAACTGAGAATTTTTTTAAGGGGGGGGGGGGGATCAACGACAGAGAACCATCGAACGCTCGTCTTTCATCTGTCTAGACGAACCTTAAATCTTTATGCAACAGACATCTGTTTGTATGTAGCTCAAGACCCAATAAAAGGACAAGGGGAATGCTTAACCCTATCCCTACATCGTGTTTTACTATCGTATCCATACGACGTGGTGAACTCTGGGCCACCACTTTCCAAAGAGGAAATTTACTCGTTGATCCAACTCGTACACTTTGCATAGCAATATGTCAAATGAGTTTTTGAGAGATACTGAAAGTTTCAAAGAGATCTTCGAACTAGAAGTAGACTAAAATGTGAAAAATACAACCCCGAGGGTACAAAATAACCCCAGGGCGTACTGATAGGGTTAAGAGAGTGATCTATCGGAGTAAAAATACCTTGGAAAAAATAATAATAAAAACCCCCCCATAACAACTGAAATAGGAGAAGAGATCACAGCTGTTCTTTTTCTATACATCTTAGGTTACGAAAGCACACTAAATGTTGACCCCCTGAAAGTTCTATTCCGGGCATCTCTTTTAAGAAAAGGGACGAGTGGAGACTGAGAAAAGTATTCCTGAAGGATATGACACCATAAAATATGTTACCCGTCGGCGACTACATCAAAGACACCAGTTTTCGTCATTCATCACAGTCATGGGTCATATTTCAAAAAGATTGCTGCAAGGGGATTTCAGTTGTAGGCTTCAGTTCAGCGGAGCGTTTTTCTCGTGAACCGTCAAGACAAAAAATATCCGGATGTAATACATTATATCCTTCCTAAGGCCAATTTTGCTTACGTCATGAAATTCATTCAATGTTTCTCTAACCCCTTCTCCCATTTCCCCTTAAGTTGAAACTGATTGATTTTTTGTGTGTATTTCGATACTTCCTCTTTACAAAGAAGTCAACATTTGCACAAAGAAAAGATCACACTAGAACATCCACAGTGCGTCCCCTCCCCCCTCCCATTTCCCTCTTTTCTGACAAGCCGCCTAAGAAATGTTCTTTTTTTTATAAGAGTAACAATACAATACTTTAAAATAAAAATACTCAAGATTATAGTTACGAGTGAGTAATGATAAAGAAAAGGGCACATAAACGCACCCGTTCACCGTGCTCCTCATTCATCAGTAGAAGACACAAAAAAGAGCGCAAGATAGGCCTATGCACCCAGTGACACTATTCACAAAACGCCCCCGTCGACAGTCCCCCATGAGAGTAATAGTATCAAATTATCCAAGTCCAACACTGATAGAAAGTAGTCTAAAGAGGACTTGTAAATTTTAACCTCGATACCTAGGAGAGGAACGTTGATCCAGCACTTCGATACTTTCGTGTATTGCGTCTACGGGAGGGGATGGGTAAAGAGAGAGGGTTGAGGGGAGGGGGTGGGGGTGGAGAAGG